CACGTTGGCCAGGCTGGTCTCGAACCACTGACCTCAAGTAATAAGGCCGCCTCAGCCTCCCAAAATGCTGGAATTACAGGTGTGAGCCACCATGCCTGGCCTTGTGTGTTTATTTACTGTTTCTTTTAGCTAGATGAGAAACTCCGTGAGGGAAGGCATCCTGTTGCTTTCATTCTTCTGTGTTCCTGGTTTCTGGCACAAAATAGGATTTCAATATTACTTGTAGTAGAAAATGAGTGCTATGGGAATGTAAAATGTTATTATCAGTTCCCCAACAGAATTTGTTTATATATCAAGGAGTTTATAAAGTTTGGGTCAACTAGCCTCATTGAGCTTAAATCAATTCTAGGTGACCAGATAAAGTCAAGTTTGGTCTTGCAGCAGTGAGGACCAACTCTGTGCCGTAAACCTGGAAGGCCTGGCCTACACGGTTGCAGGTCTGTTTCATTCACATCTGTTTATTTGAGCTTCCTGACTCTGAACAGGTGGGCTCTAGACCATTTTGTAAGATGATTTTCTTTCAGGTATCAAATGGACCCAATGGAGAGGAAAACGTAAGCATGGAACAAGTAGCATAAGAGGAAAGTAAATCTCCTGGTATCCCTCTTTAGGCCTAACTCGTCAGAAAGTTGCATAAGAAGAAAGGTGGCACGATGTAGCCTGGACCAAACCATCTTCTTCCCATTTCTTCCCCAACTCTAAGACTACTTTAAATACCATAGGCATTCTAAATAAAAGTAAAAACCTATCTTTGGTATTTCATCCCTTACCTAGCCTCTTCTTCATCCTCTAAACTGTTGCCAGCATGAATCTTTCTCAACTTGAGGGTATTATGTCCCCACTCTGTTTCAAATTCACCTACTTTCTCCACCACCTATAGGATAACATGGAATGGATATTAATTCTCAACCCAAGCCTTCAACTTCCCTGCCTCTTCTCCCTTCAGTTTTCTTCTCGCACCTTTGTTCCAAGCTTCTCTAAGCAGCTTTCAGGTCCCTAAACACAAGATGTTTTCTCATACTTCTCTGCCTTTGCATGCAAGTTTCTTCCCAATCTTTTCTTCCTGGTAAGGCCCACTGGATCAGCTCAAATGTCACCTCTCCCATAAAGCATTTTCTAATAATGCCTCCTTCTGCTCCCATCTGGCACCTTTTTCTTATAGCATATATCTTGTGCAATTAGAGTAGTTTCTATTTCATCTCCACATTCCCCTCTACCAGAATGTGAGTTCCCTGAGAAGCGATTATATTTTGCTCATCATTGAATCCCCACAGCCAAGCACAGGGTCCCAAAGAGACCCAGGACCAGAGGAATGCCCTGCTTTGTGATGTCCAAAAGTCCAAAACCAAACAACTCAAGTTAGGTTCTAGAGTTCGGAAAGAATAGTTTTACCTTCTGGGGCCATCCCAGCTTCTAACCCTCTTCCTCTCTTCTATGAGATCCTACTTGACCACCATAGAGGTAGGTGGAGGAGGCAAGGGGCAATCAAACTAGAAGTCATGGTCTCTTTCCTTGGTTCAACCAATGCACTTCTCTAGTAATGAAATGACATGGAGGAATAGATGGATTAGCATGATTCCTGTCTCAGCAAGCAAACATTGGGTACTAATTTCTGGACCCCTGAAATATGTCTAACTTTACTAACAGAAAGTCCCCTCTGTCATTACCAATAAAGCTGGTTGTTTTTAATGAAGACACATCTGGAACTGTTTTTGTGCCTGCCCAAGGACACAATTACTATCCTCCTTCATTTCTACCTTTAAAACTAATGTTTCAGGCAGACCCATTTAATGTAAGCAGATGCCCACTTGTATTAGTGGAGGCAGGAAGGGACACTGTGTGTGGCTGGATGTATGAATGTGTTAACAGTTTAATTCTTTTAAGAACACTCACTAAGAACTAGGCTTTAGAACTTGAGGGTTGGCCAGGTTTGACTTTGAGGAGGTGAAGGTTGATCCATCGCGAGTTATGCACCTGGAAATGAATGAAGTATATTTACGAGAAGAAACTGAGACTTGGAATTATGTTGGAGGAGGGTTTGAGCTCACTTGTCCTTTCAGTCATCAAACGTTTATTTCATGAACATCTACTATATGCTAGGCGCTGCATTAGAAGTTTGGGAGTCCATTGATGAAGAGGATAGGGTTCTGACCGGGAGACACAGAGGTTCATAACACATTTTGGTAAGTGCTATCACAGGATTTTTCATGAAATGTTATCATGCTCACTAGGGAATTATTAATTCCCTTTGAAGATGGAGTTACCAACAGAAGCTTTACAGAGAAGGTGTCACTTACGCCAAGACTTGAAGAATGGGTAGGATTTATCAGTTGAACTAGAAGGAAAGGTATTCCAGGCAAATACATGCAAGCAGAAACATGAAGGGGTGAAAAAGCAAGGGATTTAGATTCATACAAAGATATGTTTCTGATAGTGGGCATGTAAGCTGGTCAGTTCGTGGTTTATCAACTTTTTTTTTTTTTTTGAGTCATGGAACTCTGGGAGGGTCAAATAAAAGCAATAATCTCTCTCCTCAGAAGAGTGTGTACAGACACACACACACAACTTTCTGGGCATTTTCATTGAGTTCATGAACCCTCTGTCTTGATAGACACAGAGGGTTATGTCCCTGATTGAATTATTTTATATATGTAACATATATGTGTAAAACAAATTAAGAGGATTAATAACTATGTGTCACTAGCTTCATCTGCTCCAACTATTAGTGTTACCTAAAGATTAACTCATTGAAGGCCCATAATGAAGTTAACCATTAAGTGTTTATAAGCAGTTAATCTTTTGTCTCCAAAATTTACCAGAGATCATGGTTAATTTCCTCTACCACAATTATTTATTTCCACCCCTTTTGGTTAGAATGGTTAGAATTTCAAGACTATACATTTAGAATGTTAATTGAAACAATCAGGCATGGGGATAGGCCTGAGTTTCAGACTTTTTTTTTTTTTTTTTTTTTTAAACACTGAAATCTAAAGCAAACTGGGGAGTGGTGTGGCTTTTCTGTGCTGTACTGTTGTCTGGGCTTAGTCTACCTTTGCAGGTAATTAATTCCCCAGCCTGCTTATTTTTTCTAGTTGGCTCTTGTTTAGCTTCCACAGAGCCCCACCCCAAAGTGCTTTATTGTCCCTCTGCTATTTCTACATATGGTCAAAATCATCTCACCTTCCGGGTTGCTGACATCGGCAAATTCAGTTTGGCAAACCGGGCTCTGCTCCCAGTAACCCTTTGTTCAAGAAGTGTTATTACAAGGGAGAGTATACCCGAAGCTAACAAGCCTGTCCAATCTCTTCCACTCCTAGAGATACTCCTAAGGAGAAACTCTGTGTATTTGGATTTACAGCCACAGGCAGGATATTAGCACTCCCAGACCTATTGGGTACTAGAACATTGCTAATGAGCAAACAGCCCTGCCTCAATTAGTGGTTTGTGAAATATTCCTGGATATCAAATTGCTTTTGCTGCCTGATAATCACACTGGCTCTTGGGATGAAAAGCAACCAAGCAAAAAATTGTTCCCTTGTTGAGCACTGCCTTGTTGATCTCCTAAGTTACATCTGTAGTCAGAATTTAAGTTTCCCATTTCCCTAGAGCTGAGGTTTGATTTATGCATGTAATCATTGAGTTGGTGTTCATGTTTTCTCTTGCGAATCTTTTCCATAGTATTAGATTACTATCTTTTGAGACTGATTCTATAATTACTTAAACAAGGTTGATTATTTGAGAAACAAATTAAGAAATAAACTATAGACAGATCCAAAATGCTAAACTGCTAGTTTCCTTAGACATAGGTATTTATTTGGGGGTAAAGGGTGGTAGTAGAGAGGAGGGAATTAATAAAATTGGGAGACTGTTTCATTCAGATCACAACTTCCAGTTTGACTCTTCCTAAATTCTTTGCTTCTTAATTTTCAAGTCACTTCAGATTGCAGCAATGTTAACCTCAGCAACTAAAAATAAAAGCTTCAGTATATTACTTGGGAAGAAAAAAGTAGTAAAGGGAAGCAATTCAAGATTTGTTATTGGTATTTGAATACATTTATTGTGACAAGAATGCTGTTATAAATATTCATAAGCAAAGGCCATCTTTTAATCTAGGAATTGTCAAAGAGAAGATTCCAAATTGGAAGGATACATCTTTTGTAAAATCTGCCACCAATTCCTGCTTTGAGAATAAGCATCTATTGTTAAATTTCTACTAACATTATAAATGGTCACAGCACATGCCACTTGATACAATCCCAAACTTTGAAATGTTTGACTTCCCAGTGGGCTGTCCCTCTCCACTGCAACACCCCCCCCCTTCCTCCAGCCTCCTGAAACATCGCACTATCCTTTGGTAAGCAATTCCATATAGATAGCTGGGGGAAGAAGAGTATAACCTGACCATAGAAGCAGGTACATCAGGAACATTTATTTCTAAAGTCTAATAGAGAACAGTTTTTACTGCTTGATAGTAAGAAGCACTGAGAGTGATTTTAATTGACATTCTTAACTCTTTCAACTCCACCTAGATAGCTAGTATCTATAGATGATGCAGAAAAGAGGTTAGGGGAGTACTTTTCAATAGTTTATTGTATTTTCTTAAATATCCTTTCTGGAATTTTCAGAAACAAAACATAAAAAAATTATATACTTTATTACAAATGGTAAACTCAGAGTGCTCCAAATCTCTTATTTACAAACAACACTGGGCAGGACACCCAAACAAACAAACAAGAAATAACTTACAAAGGCATGAAGCTGTTTATTGACAGTAATCAGCTTTCATCAAATTAAAAAATATATATATGTACATACACAGTTAACGAAGGCAGGCCAGAAAGAGTTCATCTGTAGGCTCAGCCTCGCTCTCACAAACCTCCCTCCTGCCGCCCCTCCCCAGCCCTCCCCCCCGCTTTGTGTTCTTAATGAGTACTACAGAAGCAATCTACAGTCTCTATTGCAGTTTGTAACCCCCTCCCCCTCCCCCCTTTAATACTGAATGAGATCGAATGTTAGGTCCATGCAGTTCTTGGTCAATGTTAACGAAAAGTCCAACGTTCCGTCCGCGCGGGGACAGCCCGTCCGCAAAGCGGGGCAGCCCGCAGGCGGCCGCTCCCTGGCTCCACGCCAAGGGAGGGCGCGCCAAGTCCTTCCCACTCGTGCACACTGGGGGCGCCGTCAGGACGCAACCCAGTCCAACTTGGATACCCTTGGCTTTAGTTCTCGGACACTTCTTTTTTCTCTCCGTCGCAACTTGTCAAGTTCTCAAGTCTGTCTCTCTGTGTTATTTTTTTTCTCCGTTGCCCCTCAGCCCCCAACAGTCTCTCTTCAAAATGTTTGCAACTGCTGCGTTAGCATGAGTTGGCACCCACTGTTAACGTGGTTCATGACTTTCTGTTTAAGCTGTGCCACCTGTTCCCTGAGCATGTTGGCCGTGGACGCCAGCTCCGAGTTCTGAGCTTTCAAGGTTTTCACTTTTTCCTCCAGCCGGGCGATTCTCTCCAGCTTCCTTTTTCGGCACTTGGAGGCAGCAATGCGGTTCCTCATACGCTTCCTCTCCGCCTTGATCCGCTCCTGGGACTCCATGTCAATGGGGGACAGGGGCGGCGTCTCGCCAGGCATCTCGGGCACTGTCTGAGGCTCCTCCTTCAGGGCTTGCAGCCGCGGGTGCTGCACGGGCATCTGCTGGGGCAGGTGGTGCGGCGGCTGCGGCGGCGGCTGCTGCTGCTGGGGTTGCGCGGGAAAGGCCAGGCCGGCCGCGCCGTAGGAGGGCGCCCCGCCGCCGCTGCTCAGCGCGCCTGGGTTGAAGTTGCTGAGGTTGGCGTAGACGGGCGGCTCGCTGTGCAGGCTGGCGCTGAAGCCTCCGCTGCCGCTGCCCCCTGCCACCGAGGCTACCGCTGGAGCTACCATGCCCGCCCCGCTGACCGGCTGCGCCGCTGACGTGACGCTGGGCAGCGTGTTCTGGCTGTGCAGTTCGGCCAGGGCGCGCACGAAGCCCTCGGCGAAGCCCTCCTGCTCGTCTGTCACGTTCTTGGGGCACAGGAACTGGGTGGGGGTCGGCGTGGTGGTGATGTGCCCGTTGCTGGACTGGATTATCAGGCGCTCCAGCTCGGGCGACGCCAGCTTGAGCAGCCCCACGTCGGGCGAGGTGAGGAGGTCCGAGTTCTTGGCGCGGAGGTGCGGCTTCAGGCTCCCCACTGGGTCGGCCAGGTTCAGGGTCATGCTCTGTTTCAGGATCTTGGGGTTACTGTAGCCATAAGCTCCGCTCTCGGACGGGAGGAACGAGGCGTTGAGGGCATCATCATAGAAGGTCGTTTCCATCTTTGCAGTCATAGAACAGTCCGTCACTTCACGTGAGGTTAGTTTGGGCTGCGTGCTGAAGTTTCGGGGCCGCAACAGCGCTCTGGCAAGCGGGGGACACCCGTGCCCCCCGGGGCCTTTGGCAGGGAAAGTTTCTCTAAGAGCGCGCGCACCCGCTGGTTGTCGTCCCCGCTGCGCCCTCCTCACCAGCTCGCTCCAGGGAGCGCAGGGTTAATTAAGATGCCTCCCGCACTCTTACTTGTCGACTCGCGCGCGCGCTACCCGGCTTTGAAAAGTCGCGGTCACTCACTGAGCGCTCTTCGGGCGCCGCCGTTCCTTGGAGTCCGCGGGCGAACTCGCTTCCCAGAGCAGCGGCTCTCCCGGCGGCGCGGATCAGTGCCGACCCGCAGAGGCCGACCAGCGGCGGGTCTCGGCCGCCCAGACTCCGACGACTTGTCCCCTCCTCCGCTGCGAGGGGGAGGGGGCGCCCGGCAGCCGCGGCTCGCGCTCGCCCAAGTTCAGCAACCGGTGCGAGAGAAGCTGAGCGCACGTCCTTCTTCTTTTGCGTGGCTGTCCGCCGCCTCCTGGTCTTTACCGCCGCCGAATAGCCTAAGACGCAGGAAAGGCTTGCAAAAGTTCGCTCCGGGACTCTGGGCCAGTTGTCTCCGGTCCTCCGGGCCGAGAAAGTTCTTTGCTGCTGCAGTCGCTCGCCGACTTCCCCCGGCGGGCGCGTGGGTACCGCTGCTCGCCACCGCTGTCAACAGCGCCTGGGCAGCAGGGCTCTCCTCCTGGGGGCGGCTGGAGACCAGGCTCTCTGGGCACTCCTCGTAACACCAGCCCGGGAGCCACAGGCGCTAGCTCTGGGCAGTTGGAGAGAAGGTGGAAAAGAAAATAAGATTTGCAGTTCGGACTATATTGCCGTCCTGGCTGGCTGGCTGTGTCTGTCTGCCTGCCTGAGTCCGCGCACCTCCACTCCCGCCTCGCTGCTTCAGCCACACTCAGTGCAACTCTGAGCCCTTATCCAGCTCGAGCTCAACACTTATCTGCTACCAGTCAACCCCTAAAAATAGCCCATGATGTCACCCCAAGGCCTTCCCATTGGCTCGCGTCGCTCTCAGGGGGGCGGGCCCGCCCGTCACCATGGAGACTCCACCCTAGAAGATTCTTCTCTGGGCCCGCGGAGGCTCACGGGATGAGGTAATGCTCCGCTGCCCTCCTACAGTCGGGCCCTTCTTTCTCCTACCCTCCCCCCTGCCGCACGCCTCTCGGCCCTCTCTTCCCCGGTCCCCTCCCCGGGCCGTTTTTCCCGGCCCGCCCGGTGCATTGTGGGCTGACGTCTTGGGGTTTGACTGTCTAGTGACGGTGGCTGCCGCGAGCGGGCGGACGCTCGCAACATCTGACGGAGGGGGCTCAAGTTCACGGCTGCGGACTGGGATGCAGGGGATGCGGGGACCCGGGAGGCCAGGGAACCCGGCCAGTTGTTTTGGGTCAAGGGTGCGGGCGAGGGGTGGTTGTGTTTCCCCACTTGTGGGGCTCGAAGTCATCCACCGGCGTCCGCCACCGCGCGGGGCGGGAGGCTGAGAGTCCAGGTCCGCCGCCCCCCCGCACTTCCGGGGGGCGGGAGCACCGCCCTTAAGGTGGCTCTGTGAAGTCCCAGTTGGGGGCGAGCCTAAGGGGGCTTAAGTTTGGGGGCGGTCTCCCGAGAGTCGGCCCCCCACGTTGAGAAACGCTCCGAAGTTTGCATCTCGGTCAAGTTCAGGAGCGATGGTCCGCGGGGTTGTCTGGCTGCTCTTAGAAGCTGAGAGATTTGTATTGCCCAAAACTGGACGCTCAGCTGAGTCTCCGTTGCACCCCACTTCATCCTCCGGGACCGTGGGGGAAAGGGCGCGGGGATCACAGCTTTGCCTCCGAGGGGCAGTTTTTATAGTGGGCGCAATTAGTGGCTAACAGGGTCCAGATGGGAACAAGCGTGTAGGCGATCCGAAACTCGGGGAACCCCGGTGTTAGTCTACTCCCCTTCCCGCCCCCGGACAACACACACACGCTTAACACAACACGCACAACATGCGCGCGCGCGCACACACACACACACACGCACACACTCTCCACCCGCGCCGAGTTGCTTCCGGGAAAACAAGCTCAGAAGGCGGGGGACACTCGCATAAAGTAACGCAGTAGAACTCAGGAGCCCGGGGTAGAACCTGGACTTCAAATCTCCGCCTTCCCGGCCGGGTGGTGGGCCCATATCCTGAGTAGCCTCTAGGAAGCGCTAGACACATGTAAGTGGTTCCTTTTCCGCGGTTGTTATTTTATCTTCCCCCCGCCCCCCACCCCTTAGGGACGAAAGTGTGTGGTGGAAAGAATCCCGAAGTCGGGAATGCTGGTTCTTTCGTGGCCAGGCTGCAACAGTGTGAAGCGAGCAAATCACGGAACTCCTCTGAGCTTCATTACCCTCATCTGCAGGTGGGGCCGGTGCCGTCCACATCACCGGGCTGCCGGGAGTTAGTGTGACAGGGTCGCCTGCAGCACTAGGGAGGTGGTGGCCAAACAGCTCGCTTCCCTCCCCTGCCTCGCGGTTTCCATCCTCGCAGAGCCTGGATAGGATGCCAGGATATAAGAGTGCGATTTGGCAGGACCAGGTGTACTTTCCTGTGAGAAGCTTCGAGGGGAGGAGGAGAGGGGGAACAGGGTTAGAAGTCAGCTCTTTCCCAAGCCTCTGTCTAGAACTGGGGCTTGAAGTTGGACCTGCAGCAGTTTAAGTTCCTAGGTTCTAAATTCAGACTTCACTGTTTCTGAACTTGGAATTCAGCCTAGGGTTCATTGCCCCCAGCCCTAAGGTATTTGCGGCTTTGAGTGTTCAGAAACCAACAGCAGCTGGTATCAGTGGGAAACCTGCCAACTTTTCTTCACTCCGTGCACCCACCTAGCTTTCACTGATCTGCAGAGGGTAACTGAAAGCCTACTGTGAGCCAGGCGCTGAGCTGGGGAGGGGGTGGGGTAGGTTTACAGTGATGACAAGATCCAGTTACTTCCTCAAGGAGAGAACATTCTCCTCTGTCTGTTGCCCTGAATAATTTTCTGTTGTAATCAGGGAGCTGGTGTTCTAAATATTTTTTTATAACAGTAATAAAAATAAGTTTCATGTATTAAACACTTATCTGCCAGGCATTCTCCTAAGTAATTTAAGTATGCTGTTTTCTCCCCACAACCATCTTGAGAGACATATATTATTACCAGATTTAACATGTGAGGAAATAGGCCCAGAGAGGTTAAGTATCTTTGTTTGGGTCACACATGCACCTGGAAATTGACCTCAGGTCTGTGTTACATTCCTTTGTATTTTCTCTACTCTGGCAAACTTTCTTGTGGAGTATTAGTTGTCTGCAGAGGAAATAGCGTTTGTGGCATAAAAGAAATTTTCTTGCCTGATCCTCTGACTATAACTCCGTTCAGAGTTCCTGTATTTAGAAATTTCAAGACTTAGGACTTTGTATAAATATATATCTTTTACCTAAGGGTTCTGTGTGTTCCTCTGTGCCTCATGTGGTTTAGTAGGCTGATCTTCTCCTTATGTTGAGAAATAGCATATTTCATCCAAAAAAAATAACAAATCTGTTCATGTTAACGCCCCTGCTTGGAAGCCTTCATTGGCTTTTCCTTACAACCAGGAGTGTTCCGATTCCTATGCCTGGGAGAAGGGGCTTTTCGCAATCTAACTTCTCTCTCCAGCCTTATCTGTCACTCCCAGTTCTGTCAGGAAAGGCAGTGTTGTGCTCCCGTAACAAACAACCCTAACATATCAGTGGTTTATTCCAGTGAAAGTTTGTCATTTCCGCTACATGACCATTGTAGGTTGGCAGGGTAGCTCTGCTCATTGTAGCCACTCAAGGGCTCAGGCTCAAGGAGGCCTTGTCTTGATACCCCTTTTCAAGGCTATCCTGTCTGTGGGGAAGGAACTCGGAACATCATGGCTGTCAGAGCATCCACCTGGAAATGGCACACATCACTTCTGCTCATACATCATTGGCCAAAGGAGTTACATGGCCATGCCTAACTTTAGGTCACTGTAATCCTACCAGGTGTCTCAAAGGGATCTCCAGGAATATTTGGGGAATAGCACTAAAGACTCTATCTCCCTTTCTGTTCACCAAATGTTTGGTCTTCTCTCCTTCCCCTGGCGGAATTCCCTCATTCTTTTTTCAAGGGAGACAACCTTAAAGAGCCATGTGGTCACAGCACCAAGCTGCCCTGTCCATTGTTGTCCATGATTCCTGGATTTGCCTTTGGAGAGTCTTCCTTTTCCACAGCTAAAGCAGGCATTGGAAAATATGCTTTTAAAGAAGCTTTTAAAAGTTGGGGAGATGCAGAGTGACATTAAGTATTGAATATGTGTAGGTAGGCTTCTTATCTATCTGATATAAGGTGTTCCATGTGCCAATAGCCACAAAATTCTTTTCCAGATATACTTCTTTGGTTTGCCATATCTCTTTGTTTTCCTGCTATCCTGCCTGTTGACTCCTCTGTCTCTCTTCTGCTGTCTTACTCTCTTGCTCTTCACTTGATTTTGAGCACTTTGGGCTTACTGGGTTTTGGTGGGAGAGTTAGACCTTTCTTCCTTTTCCCAGAGCCATTTTGTCCAGTTGAAAGCATATGCTGGGTAAGATCTTAATTGATCCTGTTTTTTTTTTTTTTTTTCTGAGATGGAATTTTGCTCTTGTTGGTCTGGCTGGAGTGCAATGGCACGATCTCGGCTCACCGCAACCTCTACCTCCCGGGTTCAAGCGATTCTCCTGCCTCAGCCTCCTGAGTAGCTGGAATTACAGGCATGCACCACCACGCCTGGCTAATTTTGTATTTTTAGTAGAGACGGAGTTTTTCCATGTTGGTCAGGCTTGTCTTGAACTCCCAACCTCAGGTGATCCACCTTCCTCAGCCTCCTATCCTGAGGTTTTAATAGTAGGTTCATACTTTGTGACTTGATCCTTACTTCAAAGCTGAGTTTCTTCCAGGTCCTTTCTTGCTAGAAGTATTTCTTGATTTTATATTTTACTAGTTGGGACTGGGAAACAATTGCCTCTTTTAATGATATAAATCCCTGGATTTATAGATTTTCTCTATTCCATTTCATTCCTAATTGCAAACAGGCCAAATTTTTCTGAGTTCATCTTTGAATAGCTTGTAGTAACTTTCAGAATACATCCAACAGCCACCAACACACACTACTCACTTTCTGTTTTACAATCCTTTGCTTTAGTTCATCAGGTTCATGATCTGCCTTCTGCATTATCACAGGTGATCTGTTTACCAAACAGATCACCATCCCTTCAGCTTCTGATAGCAGTGTTCTTAGTTATCTCCCTCTAAATGATTGTTTAGTTTTATTGTTGTTATGCTTATTGTTGTTACTACACTAACCCATATCTAGGAGCCAATTTTTATATCAGTCAGGATGGTTTAGGTTATGCTGCCATAACAAACAATCCTAAAATCTCAGTGGCTTAACAGTAAATTTTATATTTTGCTCATACTACATGTTCAAGTTCATGGGGCTCTGCTTAATGTGCTCATTTAGAAACCTAGTCTGAAGAAGGTTTCATCTTGACACATGCTTCAACAATCATTCCATCACTTTGGTGAACTCATATTGGTTTTAAAAGCTCCCTCCTAGGAATGACACTTTTTTATTGTATTTACATGTTATTGGCTAAAATAAGCCACATGACCATGCCTTACTTAAGGGGTGCAGGAAAGTGCAATCCTACTAGGTACCTGGAAGTCAAAGAGCTGGAAATGCACACTTCCGTATACTCTAGGTTATGCTGTGTTAGCCATCCAAAAGTCTTACTGGGTTACAACCACAGAATTGTTTCTCACTCATATTGCATGTCCACTCATATGGTTTGGTTGTGTCCCCACTCAAATCTCACCTTGAATTGTAATAATCCCCACATGTCAAGGATGGGGTCAGATTGAATCATGGGGGCAGTTTCCCCCGTACTGTTCTCATGGTAGTGAATTAGTCTCATAAGAGCTCATGGTTTTATAAATGGGAGTTCCCCTGCACAGCTCTCTTGCTTGCCACCATGTAAGATGTACCTTTGCTTCTCCTTTGCCTTCTGCCATGATTGTGAGGCCTCCCCAGCCATGTAAAACTGTGAGTCCATTAAACCTCTTTCCTTTATAAATTTCCCAATCTCAGGTATGTCTTTATTAGCGATGTGAGAACAGACTAATACATCTACCATAAGTTGGCTGTGTCTCTGATTTACACACATTATCTTTGCTCAAAGACCTTGGTTAATGAAGCACCCTCTGTCCAAACATTACTGTCATGGCAGAGAGAAAAGAGCATGACTCTTAAAGCTTATGCTGAGAGCAATTTACATGACCGAGCCTGATGTCAGTGAGGAGGGGCAGCAAGTATTTTTGAATACTATTGCAGCCTACCACACCCTGTACTCCACATTCCCTCCATTCCTCTGAGTGGCTGCCACCCCAAATATTTTCCATCCCTCTGACAGTTTCCTGTCTTTGCACGTACTTTTATCCCTAATCAAAAGGCTACCTGGCAAACTCCTATTCACCCTTCAGTAGCCAGCTCAAATAATCACTACCTCTGAAGCTTTCCCTCACCCCATCTCATGCTTCACCTCGAATAGTTACTATCCTGTTTGGCTGTCACCATACTGGCTACATATCTGAAGTAGAGAAAGTTTTTCACATGATCTTGTAAATGTCTTCTTAAACCCCTGACTCTAAATCCAGCAACTGTGTCTTATTCTTATTTTGTATCTCCAATGCTTAATACAGAGCGTGGTATTTGGAAGTATAGAAGGTGCTCAGTAAATGCTTGCTGATGGATTTTTTTAAAATAGCCTTTTCCATAGTGGAATGAAGGGGGTGTTTTAATGATTGAGTAGCAATAGTACCTTGTTTTAATACATAATATTTGGAAAATGTCAAATTCCCTTGCTGAAGCCTCCTTAAAGGCATCCTATTAGCTTAAAAGAGCTAGGACTTCTCATCTCACTTTTCTCCAGCCACACTGCCTATGGCTGAATCAATCAGGATAGCCTAAGTTATGCTATGATTAAAAATATTTCCAAACCTCAGTGACTTAAGAAATAAAGATTTTTCTTGTTCCTACATGCTCATATGCTATAATTAAATCTTTTTTTCCCAAACCTCAGTGACTTAAGAAATAAGTTTTTTTTTTTTTTCCTTGCTCCTTCTATATGTCCATCAAGGGTTGGCAAGCACTCTGATCACATCACCTTCC